GGTTGCCCCTGGGCGTGCCTGCCCCAAATCCCGAAAGGAGGGAGAATAGAGAAGGGATTGCTGGGTGACCATTCCCCATGGGGGACAGTGCTTTCTCGCTTTCTCACTTTCCCCCTTGTCACTCCCTCTGACAAATTTTAAAAATAAAGAAATAAAAGATAGAGGGTATTTTAGATAGCAATATGCACTAAGAAGAAAAAAAACAAGAGCTATGAAATGTCAGGGGATAGACACTGAAATACTAGATACGTTGGCAAGGGAACCAAAACCTATTCCCTGGGAACAGAGCCAACGGGACGGAGAAAGAGATTTTAAGGAGTTCACTGGTGGAGTTGTGGGGGCTGGCAAGTCTGAAATCTAGGGCAGGTGGGCAGTCTGGAGACCCGGGAAGAGAGGATGTCGCCACTTGAGTCGGAAGGCAATCTGGTTCGGTGTTCCTTCTGCCTGGGAGGGACTCAGTCTCTCTCTTTTAATTTCTGCAAGGCCTTCAACGATTGAACAGGACTCACATTAGGGTGGGTAATCTCTTTAGCTCAAACTCCACTGAGAAGGTGGTTTTTGAGGGGGAAAATAATCTGCAGAGCGAGCGAGCCAGGCAAATAAACATCTGGGAAAGGAAGATTCAGGTAGCGATGAGAAGCAATGAAAAGGCTTTTAGGTGGAAGCCTGCCAGAGGTGTCTCTGGAATGGCGTGAACAAGGGGGAGAGTCATGGGGAACAGATCAAAATTCCAGGGGTAGACCATGTGGGGCTTTGTAGGCCTTCATAAGAACTTGGGTGTGATTCTGAATAAAACGGAGAGGAGTGTTTTAACAAAGGAATGTACAGATCTGACTTCATGTTTTAATAAGATCACTGGCCATTGTATTGACAATCAGCTGCAAGTGACAAGAATAGAAGCAGAGGCCGGTTTTGGGAGCCTGTTTCAATAATCCAGATGAGAGATGGTGGTGGTTTGGATTAGCGTTGTAGAAACCAGGCAGAAAAGTCAAGGGAAGTGACCAGCAGATGACATAATGGTTATGTTGCTGGACTCCCACGTAGCTGACTGCTGTCTGGCCATTGTATTGACAATCAGCTGCAAGTGACAAGAATAGAAGCAGAGGCCGGTTTTGGGAGCCTGTTTCAATAATCCAGATGAGAGATGGTGGTGGTTTGGATTAGCGTTGTAGAAACCAGGCAGAAAAGTCAAGGGAAGTGACCAGCAGATGACATAATGGTTATGTTGCTGGACTCCCACGTAGCTGACTGCTGTTCCAGTCCCATGACACAGCGGCTTCAAACTCACACTGGGTGTGTGTGCGTGCTGCCCAAAATCCTGAGAGGGATTGCAGAGTGGTCATTCCTCCCGGGGGCGGGGGCGTGATTTCTCACTTTCTGTCTTTCTAGGAGCACACACACCCTATAGCAAAAATCTCTCTTTAAAAAAAAAAGAGAGAGAGAAGAGGTGAGTGGAGCTTTGTGGGAGCCAAGAAAAATGTGTTTCCAGGAAGAAGTGACCATTGTGTCAAATGCTGCCTCAGAGGACTGAGAAGTGACCACTGGACTTTGAAAAATGGGGGGGGGGGGCTTTGGTGACTAGGACAGTTTTGGTAAAGAGATGTGGATAACTCCTAAAAGCAGAATAACTGCGGACAGTGAACAGAAGCAACTCTTTTTTTCTTCTTCTTCTTCTTTTTTTTTAAGAGATTCTTTGCTATAGGACACGTGCATGTGACAAAAAGATAGAGACAGAAAGTGAAAAATCACCCCCTAGGGAAGAGAGTCATGCTGCAATCCCTTCTCCTCTTGGGATTTTGGGCACGCATGCACACACCCCCAGAGTCAGTTTAAGCTGCTGAGTCCAGGACTCGAAACGTAGTCGACTACATGAGAGTCCAGTGACGTAACCATTTATACCATCTGCTGGTCCCCAGAAGCAACTCTTATGATTACTTAACATAGAATAAATAACAGCAGGACGAGCAGATGGCGTAATGGCTATGTCGCTGGAGTCCCATGTAGTCTACTGCAGTTCAGGTCCCGGACCCAGTGGCTTAAACTCACACCAGGTACGTGTGCGTGCGTGCCCAAGATCCCAAGAGGAGGATGAAGGAGAAGGGATTGCAGCCTGGCCATCCCCCCTGGGGGTGATTTCTCACTTTCCTATCTCTCTCTGTCTTTCTGGCGAGTGCACGTGCCCTATAGCAAAAATCTCTCCGAAAAAAGAAATAAGAGCACATTTGTGTGCTGATGAGAACGATCCAGTAAAGAGGAGAGAATAAGCAATAAAAAAGGCAAGATTGTTGCAACCATGTTCCAGTCCAGCACACAGTGGAGGAACCGTTCTTGGCCAGAAGCATAAACAAGTCACTCATTTTATTGGAGAGGAAGTGGAGTACGTGGGTCCAAGTGCAGCTGGAGGGTCGCTGTGGTGCTGGGAACGTGTGGGCGTTCTCTTCTAATTATTTCCATTTTCAAGGTCAAGCTCATCTGAGACAGTGAAAGTGGGAGATCAGAGACAGTGAAAGTGGGAGGGAGAAGTTAAAAGTTAGAGGAGAAATTTCGTTTTGTTTTGCTTTTTAATCCAGTGTTGTATTCTGCTTGAATTTGTATGAGTTGGGGACAGGCTTTTTATGTAGTAGTTAGAACATAAGACATAACAAAACCCAGGAATGAGCTAATCCAAAGGCTTTAAATTCCCTATAAAACCAGTGCTCACCGAAGGGAGAAAAGGGAAGAGCACTAAAGACTTCAAAGTAAATGTTTGTGGAAAAATGTAAAAATAAATAAAAGAGAGCGAGAGAGAAAAAAAAAAAGACTTCAAAGTGCCTACAGCCAGACAGGAGGTACCTCAGAGTGGACAAAGGGTACAAGAGGTAGGGACTAGGGAGATGAGTCACCATGTCACCCATTGCCAGGTCTATCAGGGGCTCCAGGAAACGACATGTGAAATACATTCTAACCGTTTTCCCGTTTTGCTCCCTTCAAATGGAAGCTGGAATGAAGACTGTCAGGCAGGCCCAGAAGAAACATGTGTTTGTCCACCCCCTGCCCCAACCCTTTGAGTGGCTGGGGCAACGCCTCTCTTGCAGGATAGACATGGCCGTGGAGTGGGCCAGGGGAAATGCTGGAGGAAGGACAGAATGACCTTCTGCACTCTGACGAGCTATGGTTCTCAAGTGTGACTTCCCACCAGCAGTATCAGTTTCATTTGGGAAATTGTTATAAATACAATTTTTTTTTTTTGAGAGAGAGAGAGAGGTTTTTGCTATAGGGTGTATGCACTCACTGGAGAGACACAGAAAGACAGAAAGAGAAAAATCACCCTGGAGGGATGGCCACACTGCATCCCTCCTCTCCTCTCCTCTCAGGATTTTGGTCACGCATATGCATGTGTCCAGCATGAGTTTCAAGCTGCTGGGTCAAAACAGTGGTCACCCGCATGAGAGTCCAGCGCCTTAACCACTACACCACCTGCTGGCCCCAAAATACAAACTCTTAGGCCCCATCCGAAATTCATGTTGAAACTTAATTGCAATTGAGGTAGTATTAAGATGTGGAGCCCTGGGCCTGCCCCATAGACTAGTTGTCGAGAGTCCCATGTAGTCAACCATGGTTCAAATCCCAGCCCTGGCAGCTTGCAAAACATGCCAGGCATGAGTATATGTGCCCCAAATCCTGACAGAACGAAGAAATGGAGAAGGGACTGCAGTTAAGAAGCCCCATGGGGGGGGGTCTCTCTCTCTGTCTCTTTTTCTCTTGTGAGGGCACACGCCCTCTGGCAATTAAAAAAAAAGAGGTGTGATCTATAGGAGATGATTAGGTCATAAGTGCTTTGCTCTCATGAATGGATTAGTGCCTTATAAAAAGGCAGGGCTCAGAGACAGCAGGTGGCATAATAGTTACAGTGCTGGACTCCCACATGGCTGACCGCAGTTTGAGTCCCAGACCTTGAAAATCAATGCCAGATGTGTGTGCATACGTGCCCCAGAATCCCAGGAGAATAGAAGGGATTGCAGTATGGCTATCTCCCCAGAGGGTGGTTTCTCACTTTCCCTCTCACTGCTTCTGTCTCTCTCCAGCGAGAGCACACATTCAATGGCAAAAACCTTTTTTAAAAGAAAAAAAAAAAAGAAAAAAAGGGGGGGGCGCTAGCCTAAGCTCTTTTTGCCCTTCCACTTTCCTCCAGGTGAGGATGCTGTTGAAATAAAAGCCCTCAATGAAGCTGGCCCTCACCAGACATTGAACTGGCCAGTACCTT